TGTTAGAGGCAAAGAAAGCCTGGGCAGGTCACACATGCTTCGTAGTGCACTCTATTGCCAAGTATGAAACAAGTGAAGCTATGCTTGGATTTACCCAAATTTATAACTTTAATGATTAATTGTAATAATAACAATAATAAATCATGATAAGTGTGTCAATGTTATCTAAATACAAAAATATGCCTGCAAGTGACAGAGCTGTCGATCAAACTCGGTTTCAGTATGTTGAGAGGAAATCTTTAGAAGTGAAAACATCTGAGGGGTATGAGCCTGTCGGAGCCTGTGCTAAAACTTTGCGCAGCAGTAATTTCAGCCTTTGTATGCTGTTATCAGGTTGGAAAAGCTGAAGTTCAGCGGCTGGTCAGAGAAATGAGAGCAGAAGAAGGGAGACACAAGAGGGCGCTAGAGGATCTAAGACAGCAGTGTGGCAGGGAGGCGGAGGATGCCCACAGGGAGTATTTTAGTCAGTGTAAGGCCTCACAGAGTGCTCAGTGCACTGAGACACTGGTTCATGTCCAATGAACCCATTGCACCCTGACATGCTACAACAAATGTATGAGAACAAGTAGGATGGAAGAGTTCCAAACACTGTCTGATAAATGGGATACCTAAATCGCATTGCCTGCAGACACACCAACACAAAAAAAGCATTGTCAGCTTGCAAAATCCTTTCATAGTCTATCTTTTTATGATGTGCATTTAGACATTTCAGTGCAGCTTTAATAAAGTCTGCAGAGGGTTTGCTTCTCCCTCTTATTTAGCTACATGCTCGCTACTCTGATCAGGAAGCTCTGCAGAAACTGTTAAAGGCATCAAACAACTTACAGTTTGCTCAGATTTGCAGGAAATCTTTAGTTTTGTTGATTCTAAAAAATGTTTTTGTGAACACGTGCACTTGTTTTGTTGATTGATTGCTTTTTATGGCTGTAGACAGAGTGAGACAAAGCATCAAGCAAACTATCTCACAATTTGACAGCCTTGAGCTCTTATATGCATAATGGGAGCACACTCCATTGAGTGCATGAGGGGGTTGTAAGACTCAGAATAAGTGAGAGTGGAGATGTTATGTAATGTTTCAGGGAATACTGACACATTATTTATATAATTTATGGTCCTTGAGTCCTATTGCACAACACGGACAGCTAACAACAGATCTGTTGAAGTTTCCTTACTTTACATCAGTTTTTTACTGACAAAATCAGAGAAATCTGCCTGTGATTTGTTTTATTCAGTGGAAGCTAAAGATGCTGAATGTAAGAAGCTGCTGGAGAAAAAGGATCTGGATCTAGAGGACATGAAGAAGAGACTAAAAGATCAGGAAAAGGAGAGTCAGAACGAGCTACTCAAGTTACAGATGGAGGTAAAATAACATAATTGAAATTGTAACCATCATACTTAATTTGATTAACATAGATCTACATAAATATCTGTCATTGCTTTTAATATATTTATGATGTTTAATAATCAGGTTTAAATTGTGTGTGATTTTAATGAATAATATTAAGAACACAGGCAGGAGCAGGAGTCTAAATCTTTGAAATAAGAATAAACTCTGCTTTGGTTTTGAGTGTCTAGTTTCAGTTACAAGCTCATTGTTTTGCTCTGTGTTTTTGGCAGTTTGGTGCAAAGTTAGCCAGAGTTCAGAGTTCAGCTCAGTGGAGCCAACAGCAGCAGCAGCAGCAACATGGCCCAAACCTTCCTCAGAGTGTCTTTAAAAGGGTAAGCAGCCCACACAGAACCTGTTACACCCCCTTGTTTAAACTGTTGTCAATCTGTAACTGAGTGTTTTGGTGTGATTTACCGTATTCCAAAAGCACAGGTGAGTAAACACCATGTGTGTAACTGTTACTGATGTACTGATGTATCCTTCTCATAGAAACTACAACTAAGAGTAGAGCAAAGTCCATTAAGTCTTAACTAGAAATCTTATCTTGTTAGTCTACACGTTTTAAGTCATCAGGCTGCTTCCCGGTATGCTGTGTAAGCTTTATCAGCCTTTGTAATGCTTTAACAGACATAAATTCCCACTTAAATGGTAGGCTGACTGCCTGTATACGTTGCTTTTCTAGTCTTATTTGACCACTCAGCTTTCAACATGGGCATGTCTTTACCCCGAAAGTGTCAGCTGGATCATTTTTGAAGCATAAATTAAACTCCAAGAAGTGAAATGGCAACTTTAGGTTCATTGCTATAAATGAACTGCACCACAGTTAATCTTGATGCTGACTGTCACAAACACCTCCTTCAGGTTAACACTAGCTGTCCACTTTATTAGGTATACCAGTTTGGTATGAGCAATACTCATCACACCAGGCGTTTTTCCAATCTTCCATTGCTCAGTTTTGGGGAGCCCCTGTGAACTGTAGCCACAGGTTCCTGTTCTTCGATGGCAGCGGTATCACCTTGTGTCACCGTCCTCCATCTACATTCAGAGATGCGCTTCTGCCTTGGTTGAATATAGAAAATGCACACTAGATATAACCATCCAATATTCAAATTCACTTAAATGACCTTTCTGAGTCATTCTGGTGCTTGGTTTGAACTTAAGGAAGTCATCTTGACTGTGTGTACATTGCTAAAATGCACCGAGGTGCTCCCATGTGTTTGGCACGTCAGATATGTGCAATAACCAGTAGATGTACTCTGTAAACTAGTCAGTGAGTGTACTTAGCCACTTAGCAACAACATTCCTTCAAGTGGGGTAGTTGGTTGCTCATTTTATGTTACAGAAAAAATGTCTAATGCTTGGGTTATTTTTGGTATCTCATAAATCCCAGACAGGGTTTTGTGTGTTTTGTTGAAAACTGCTAACCAAAATTTTCATTATTATGATTTCAAAATTTATTTCATTAGGGGGGAAACCGTTCAGTTATGTGTTTTCTTACATTTTGGGCTTTAAATGATTGAATAAGAAAATAATTTCAAAAGGCATGAAATCATGAACAGCAATGAAAATATCACTGAGTGGCTTCAGCAGCCACTCAGTGCAAAGCACATGGCAGACTAGATTTTTCATTTAAACTCGTTTACCTGGCATTAATCTGAAGAATAGAAGCTAGTATTTACAGGGCGTGTTTTATAGGTCAGCAGTGATTTTGTGTTTTCAGAAGTGTGTTGTATGTCTTTTTATGTTTTTCTCAGAAGCTGCAGTTTTTCCAGGAGGAAAAGAACAAAGAGATTTTTGCCCTGCGTCAGAGAATCAAAGAGCTGGAAGAGAATCAGCGTGCCAGCAGCATCCTGGACAGCCGTCCAAAGAGAAGAAAGATTTAATTTGTTTAGAGGCTAACGAGCTGCTGACCTGCCAGTGGACGTGCATGATTCCCATAGAGCATTCTGAAATTTCCAATCTTACATATTCAACAGGACATTTACTTGGTGCTTGTGCAGTGTGACTAGATTTGACTGCAAGTCCAATGCTCTTCTTGCAGGTGACCAGTGTAAAGAAAGTACAAACACATGCTGTATTCCTGTCTAAGGATTTAATCCAATTAGACGCCTGCAGGGAAGGATGGAGGGAGAGAGTGTAGGTGGAGTAGTGCGATTGTGAATGAATTGGCTGAAAGGGCAGTCTGATTCAAGGATGTAAATCTGTTTATCTGTTTTCATTCAAAGAAATCATTAATAGTACTTATCCCCCTTTTTTCAAGGTTATTGTAATTCACACTGAGTTCTCTTTGTGTTCATATAGATGCATTTTCTCTGTGGTTTATTGTTCTGAGCATTATTAATTGACAGAAGTCTTCAACTAGCAGAGTGTCTTGCCATAAGCTAATGTTTTGTGTGTATCATAGACTGTGTAAGAAAATGTGTATTAAAAAAACTTCAGTTGATCCAGTGAAACATCGGGCACAGCTCCTCTGTTTCAAATCTTTTCTTCTTTTTCTTTTATAAATTGCAGCTCTGTTTAGAATAAAGTAGATGACACAGCAATTTATACTTCCTGTATCATTGTGTGAACAGCATGGGTGTTGTCAGTGTGACATATTGTCAGCTTCTTTAAAAAAGAAAGCATTAAGTAGTAACACAAAGCCAATAACAAAGTTGGTGAAAATGAGCTGTAAGAGCACTTCACAGCGGTTTACACGTGGAAACAGTTACAGGTAGGCTACAGTGCTACAAGCCTGTCTGCTCAGCACTGCTTCGATTAATTGCTGGAAATCAAGCTTTGGCTGGTTGGATGGAGATTATTTGCTACTAGCTTTTATGTTAGCCTTAGCCCTTAGTGTCACGATTCCATCTTTTGCACAGTAAAAATAAAACTTCACACGTTCATATATCCACTCGCCTGCTGCATCATTTTCACTTTGATTTCCAGGGTGTTTTTGAATTCAGCCCTCTGCAGGCTGATTATTCATCCTTTTATTCCTAACATGTTACCCAGCACACATCAGTATAAATATCCAGCATGATTTATTTTTGGCAGTGTTGTTTTTTGAGGGGGTTTTGAGCAGTGTGTATAATAATTATGATTTTGTACATTTGCATGGTTTTTGACTGCTGTCTGCTGATTAATGTCCTTCCACTACTCTACACAGGGATGACATACCTGAATGAAGATGCTCATGCCTGCTGAGGCGTTGACCTTTCTAATCTCGTTATCTGTGCTGTTCTGCCAGCATCTAAAGGGGACAGAGAGCTAATCTCTATGGGAACATTTGCTAATGCCGTTGCATAACATTTCATCTTCACAAAATCCAAGAGATCAACTTTACCTAGATAGCACATGGATGTCAGTTGCACAGGTGTATTATGTTAGACATGAAATCCGCATTCTGATCATATAAACTCTAAAAACAACTTATTTGTGCATATCTGTTTTATGGCCCCTTTTTTGATGTTTGAATTGATGTTAGCTGTATGAAAGGACTGGGGCAGACTCAGATTAAAGCAGGATTAGAGGTCATGGCATCATCTTAAGCTTTCGTTTCTTGGACATGAAAAGAGGCTGAAGATAAGCAAAGGTGAGGGGTGTGGCCAGAGATGCCCACACTGACTGAACACTTTACTAATCGTTGTGACGCTCCCCCTACCACGCTGCCTTGCATGTGATTTGCCATGAGTGTGTAGTCATCTGATTTAGAGGACTGAGAAGAGAGCGAGGCTATGACAACGCTGCTCTGAAGACATTTTTTAGGGTTCTGTACAGAAAAAATAACCCCCTTTTTTAATATCATTTGCAAGGGGCTCTGCAGCCATGGTTTGATGCAGAAACTTGGTAAGAAAATTTCTCATTGTAGTTATTTGTGTGTGTTACTGTTTTATTGCAACCATTTCACTACTAGGCTTCTAAAACAGTATAAAACATGTATTCGTTGCAGATTTAATTAATGTTTTACTTGAGCGATTTGGTTTCAGTGAAATAAGTGTCAAAACTTAATAGTGGTTCTTTTGGGGAAATTTATAGAGAATATCAGGAATCAAGTAAAAAACAACACCTTTGTCCCTCTAGTTTACTTCTATATGCTCCTCTGTACTGTAACTTACATAAGATGGACTGTTAATGACTCCACCACTATCTTCAGCCTGCTGCAGAAATGCCTGGAGGCCAGTACCAGGTGGCGAGCGCCAGGCTCCACCACAGCCTCTACAGCCTGACGGACAGCTCTGATGCTGGGCCTGAGGATGAGGAGACAGACAACCTCACTCCCCTGGAGAAGCTCACCAGAGATATGTGCAAGGACGAGCAGACCATCAAGGAGCTGATCATAGGGCGCAGAATTGGATTCTATATGGTCCGCGGGGAGATCGGCTACGGGACATTCTCCAGGGTCAAACTGGCTTTCCACGCTCTGACGAGAGGTAGATGGATATTCTGAATCTTCAAGATAATCTTCACTTATATTTTACCTTTGCTTCCTTTGCCTCTGTCTCAGACTCAACCCTATCAAAGCAGAGCTTGAATAGAGTGTGGATATGCAAGGTTTAAACTGGTTGCAGCCCTTTGTTGACAACACTTGAAAACCTTTTTTAAAGACTACACACGTCTGATGTTTGATGGGCCTGAAACTGAGAAAAAAACACAGCTCATGCAATAATGAGCAATTTTATGCAACACAGTTTCCAAATTTAGTTGCTCAGTTAAAAGGAGAAATTACTGAAATACAGCAGCAGAACAGCTGCAACCTGATTCCAAACCTGATGTGTTGAGTCGTTTCAGGACAGGTGGCAGAAATCTGACCTGAAAAGATCCAATTATTCACATAGCTTGAGATAGCTTCTCTTTGAATGTGTTGCAAAACAGTCCACCACAAACACATTCAACATACAGCAAAGTTAAGCTGAGGAGATTTTCACATTTGCAAAGCACAAACAGATTGTATCATTATAAATACCTTCAACATTTAAGCACAAATCCAATGACTTAAAACTGCTAATGGTGGTTGAACCACTAGAACCACAAGAACTGCTAGAGAAAACAGGTTACTGCAAAATTGCTGCCTTTCAAATGGCCAGGTCTGTGACCACTCGCAGTTAGTTGCCATCTTCAAAGCAACTTGCAATGGGAAGCAGTAAGAAGGAAGGGCAATGGGAATGAAACAATCAGTCCCCTGTCGATTGGGAATTGAATGGGGTCAAACTGACAATTACATGTAATTTTGTTTGTGATAATACAACATTTAACTGTGAAAATCTGTTGCCGTCTTCATCCACAGAAATTCATATGAATTATTTTGATTCTAGCCAGAATCTCGTAGATTTGAAACAGAAATTTAGATATTTAAACTGCTAAATGGCATAAGTGCTTGGAAAGACCTGCTTTTACATAGGAATATAACCAGAATACAACTAGCTGACAAACAGTTGAGAAAAGTCTGCTATTGCAAAGAGACATGTCGCAGCTGAGTTGCACTTATTGCCTAAGACCGACTCATATTGGTTGAAACATGTTAGCATTTTTTTATAAATTAGATGGCAGTTATTTGCAAACAGTTGCCAATCTGTCTGAGACTGATTGCCATTTGTGTTGGTCTGCAAATGTTCAAAGACAGGTTGCCTTCCACTATGCACCTGGTTAAACTTTTTCTATTCCAAGGAGTCAAGTCTGAAAAGCAGCTGATATCTGGTGGTTCATCTGGATAAATTAATTAAGAGGACCAATCAACTGCAGCTGATTATATATTATATAATATAAACATGCTGTTCTGGTGATGCCAGTCCTTTTTCATCTTATCCTGCTTTGAGCTAAACAATTTCAAACATTGGGATTTCAGGTTTACCTTCAGCAAGCTAACCCTTTATTAACTTTTTGATCATTACTTAATAATTAACACCATATGTTATAAATTTAATAAAAGAATTCTGCTCGCAGTCACTTCTTTAGTTAAAGACATTTTTTTTCCGATTCATTTAACTACTCTCTCCATGTATCTCCATGCAATGCAAAAGCACTCCGGTTTCTGTGTAAGCTTTCAGTTTCTGTTCGACTTTCAGCCTCTGATGTCATGGACACCTTCTCTGGAGTTATGTTACCATGACACGATCATTCTGTCCAATCTTTCACAGACAAAGTGGCTCTGAAGATCCTGGATAGGACGAGGCTGGATGCTGAAGCCCAGCGTCTTCTCTCCAGGGAGATCAGCAGCATGGAGGCCCTGCACCACTCAAATGTGATCCGTTTGTATGAGGTCGTGGAAACGCCGAGACGCCTCCACCTGGTGCTGGAGTATGCAGGAGGAGGAGACCTCCACAGCAGGATATGCAGCGAGGGAAAATTGTCAGACAATGCCAGCAAGATCACCTTCGCCCAGATCCTCTCTGCCATCAAACATATGGTCAGTGATGTTGAAAGCTTTCAGAGCAAGATGCTGCTTGTGTTTCCCATCATGCAGTTTAGTTATGTGCTCAGTGAAGTCACACCTTCTCACATGTGAGACACACACAAGATGTCATCTGCTTCAGATGTGTCATGGCTGCTGGCAGTCCTCTGTTTGGTTTGAAGGTGAGGGAGCTGCCTGGGTAGAGCGTGCAGGAGGCAGGACACATGACAGACGCTGGCTCACTGTGAATAAGCCAGATTATAACCTGCCCTGTTCACACAGGAACGCAAACTGGATTTTTACTGAGAAGCTGGCAGGTCAAAGATCAGCTAACAGTTAATCCCACCATGTCTGACACAGAGCTGTTATAATTTTACCCATTTTAAAAAATTATTTGAAATTTTATCTTTTCTTTTATTTGGTAAATTTCTAGTGTGAGTTTGCTTGTTTTGGTTCATTTTCATCAGCTTCACGGTTCATTTTAGTTTATCATTATGCATTTATTATATTAGGTATTTTAATAAAAACATAACCCCTCATGACATGTATGTATTGTAAGATGTTTTTGGTGTTTTTCCTGACTGGAAAAACACCAAAAACATCTTGATGTGTTTACATACATCAGCACACTAACAAAGGTTAAAAGTCAGGACATTCACCAGGGAAAAACCAGAATGACACAACAAAGACCTGATGACAAAGTCAGGGCTTAAATACACACACGAGGTGGGTAATTATAGATAAAGAACAGGGCTGGAAAAATAAAGAGAGGTGGACAGAATCAAACTAATGACATAAAGAGGAATCAAAACTAAACACACAGGAGACAAGAGACTAGCAAAATAAAACAGGAAGTAACCAAACAAAGGAACATCTGACATTGCCAGGAAACTGGAAACTATCCGGGGGATAACTGTAAAGAACGCAAAAAACTGAAAGAACTACAACAAAGAGTCTAAAGCCAGAAGCACTGGGTCAAATATCCAGGATCATGACAGTGGCATCAAGTCTGTGCTACCTTACATGAGGAAATGTACTGTTATTTTTGGCCATGAAATACTCGATGCACTTTATGCTTCAGTAAATAAAATCCTGCTTAATATTTTTATTTCAGTCTTGGTGATTTTCTTTTAGGGAAAGAATAAAACCTCTTTGGCAAGTCCCAATTTTTTTTCTCTGCAGGAAAATCCTGATGAAGACCTGATGAAGATCCAATATATATCTCATATTTATTCATAAAAGGGTTCTTTCCTTATCTTATTGTATAAGATATTATTTTAGTGACTCACACTCAACTCTTATAGTCAGGTTGCATTAGAAGAATGAAAATAGGGTCCGTTAGATGAAATCTTGGAATGGAGAATGGAGACATACATCAAAAACATGCAAAAACATGATTATAAACAAGCCTTTGTGCTGACCCAGTTATCTAAACCATTGGAGTGAATATTTTAATTTTCACTTTAGATTTTTTTCAGGGTGATTGTGGGTTTAGCTGTAACCTGGGCAGCTTAGGTGCAGGTCTGCTCAGAGCACTTTTTTGTGTTCCAAAACAATGTTAAAGTTGTGCGGTCACTGAACTGGTCACCATTAAAATTATAATTCATTACAGCCATCCAGCTGTACATCTAAATTCCCAAAAGCCTTTTAACAGATGCAACTTTAATAGTGAAAGTCTAACCTCACATTTACTTTACAGTTTGAAATTCCAACCTTCTCTTTATGTTTTGCTCTGCAGCACAGCATCAACATCATCCACCGGGACCTGAAAGCAGAGAATGTCCTGTTCACCATCGACGGCTGCGTGAAGGTGGCTGACTTTGGATTCAGCACACAGATGTCAAACTGCAACAATGCCCTGGACACCTTCTGTGGCTCGCCGCCCTACGCAGCCCCAGAGCTCTTCAGGGATGAGTCCTACCTGGGGCCTCCGGTAGATGTTTGGGCAATGGGAGTCCTGCTTTTCTTCATGGTGACCGGCACCATGCCGTTCCGTGCCGAAACCATGGGCAAGCTGCGGCGCTGCGTCATTGAAGGCAATTACACCATCCCCCCCTGGGTGCCAGGACCCTGTCAGAGGCTCATAAAAGGCATCTTGAAGCTGGTCCCCAGTGAACGATATGCTATCGACCAGATGCTGGGTTGTGATTGGCTCTTACCTGTGGAGTTCCCCTGGCCGTTTCTCCCTTCCGACTCAATGACCACCCTGCGGAGCCTGATGGTCTCGGAGAACACCAGCCTGGAAGAGGAAGTGGAGGAGGTCAGAAGCTCGCTGGAGAAGCTTGGCTTTACCGCAGAGCACCTGCAAAACAATCCGCTGAAAGACAGCCGGAGTCCTGTCACCGGGGTCTACCGCATCCTGCTTCACCAGGCCCAGAAGAAGAAGGGCTGCGACTCTCCCCCAGTAGTCCGAGGGATGGTGAGAGACCCCAAGAGGGAGGGGCTCCGGGCCTACAGGGGCCTCAGGCACACCTCCAAGTTATGTGTGCTTTCATAATAAAGCACTGCTTTTGCACAGACTTATTTTATACCAACTTGCAACAAACAGGAACATTTTTAAATGACTTGTAGCTTTTACAGTTTTTAGCTTTTGATAAATTTGTTTCACTCCTCCTAATGCAACTCAGGTGTCAACCTGCAGCAATGCCCCAGTCACCTTCTGCACTTTTTGGAATACCCTAAATGTTAAATAAACATGGAAGTGCCTAATGAAATTAAACAAAGGTAGTAATCAATGAAGGAATGTGTGTTTTCATTCATTTATTATTACTTTTTAGCAATATTTAAACACATAAAATATTTTTTTTCTAAAGCCCAACAGACAATATAAAAGCTGTAAAAAGAGAGAGAGAATGGGACGTACATTAAATGAGAGACAACGCTTATGCCCTGTTCACGAAAGTGTAACTAAAGTAAGGAGCGGTGCCTGATGCAGATTTCATTTTAAAGGCAGAGCAGGTGGTTCTGCTGCTGCACCCAAACACAGCTGATCTCCTGTCTTTGTGCTGTGTTTACCAAAGTTTCACCAAGTGCCTGCCAGTAAATAATAGTCCCGACAGCAGCTGGCAGGATACCATAGATAGTCAGGACCCCCACCCTCTCTTCTCCCCAAAACCGGCCCAAACCAGCCAGACCTCACTCAGCACTGTACTGACTAACCCCTCCGACTCCTCCCAGCCCTGCCCTGTCCGACCCCAACCTGCAGGAAGCAGCAGATGGCGCGGCGTGGCCAGGGAAGACATCTGCGGGCTAAACAATAGGCACTCTGTTCGGACCGCTGGAGCTGACAGGCCGGGAGCCCCGCTATTGTGCTCTGCGCCATACATATGCAGATGAAGTCTGGAGGAGGAGGGCCTGAATGTGTTTGCCCCCTCCTCCCTCAGATGTCAGGCCGTATCGTCTCTCCACCCAAAGGGAGCTTAAAGCTTGTGTTAGTTTCAGCCCTCCTCCCTCTAAACACCCCGAAAAAGCACAAAAAACAGAGTTTTGCAACTGCAAGTGAAAACACAACGCAAAATTCATCTTTCAAGTTTTATTGAGTATTTTCCACTTACAGCTTCCAATAATGTTTGAAACAGCTGATAAGTTAACACCAAGTTAGTTTCCAGCATTGCCTCAAAAAGATCAAACACATTAAGTCAAATTTTATTTTCTTTTTGTTTTCACTACAGGCTACATAGTAAAATATTTATAGGATAAGCTAACAAATTCTCATGACGTTAAGTTAATTGAGCGATTTTCTAAAGTGAAACCTTTAGAATATAGACATTTTGTTGTTTTCTATATATGTTTTAGAATATTTTGTCATTGTTAAATTTCTAAAGTGAAACCTTTAGAGAATTAAGACAATTCTGGAAAGTGGGAAACATTTCCGCTGACTGCAACTGATGTCATGTTGCTCAGCGAAGAGGACATCCTTAAAAAGTCCCTTTCTAAGAAGGCCTCTCTCTCAGCACCGCTTCTTCTCCTGCTGCGCGTGCTTCAACGTGCGACATTTGCTCTGTGGAATCACAGGACGCAGAAATCGCTTCTCCTTCCTCTCCAAACCTCATCCGCACAAAGAATGAGGGTCGATGCGTCGCTCTTGTGGCATGCCCGACCTCATTCACATAAAGAATGAGAGTCATCTTGGCATGGACGGGACAAGAGGCGACGGTTCACGGGGGCCCCTCGGGCCGGCGCCGTGCTGCCTGGACGGGAATCCTCCTCAGGAGTATCCAGGGATGAGCAGAAACAGGGTCATCCTGTCCATCAGGATGAGTATTTCCAGATAAGAAGCTTTGCAGCATCTGAGCGAGTGAGGAGCAGGTCCCAGATCAGCGCTCGGGGAGGCTGATCTCAGGAACCCAGTCGTTCAGATGCCTGCTCTCCTCACAGAACAGGTGCAGCTTCTCCAGAGCGGGGTCCTCCCAAGACCCGTCAGCCGGGTTCTGATCAAACAGGAAGAGGAAAGCAGATTTAGTCGCACGTTTCTTTTCAGAAAGCACAAAAAAATAAAAACAAAAAATCAGCCTTGAAATTCTTCACAGTGCTGCTACTGAGCTCTACATACCGTGATGAGGACGCAGTGCGCATCTTCAAACTGTTCCGCCTTGTCCCCAACAATCTCCACTAGACGCTGCATGTCGCTCACTCTGACGATGCTGATGTCGTTGTCGAAGCAGAAGGACTGGATGAGGGTGAAGTGGATCTGGAGGGCGATGTCACACTCAAACTCCTCATCCATGGCCAGGACGCAGAAAGACACACTGTCCGGGTCTCTGTGGGGACATTAAAGAACAAAATCCATGAGATTCTACCCACAACTGAATAAATCAGCGTTTAAATGAGTTTACACGTAGTAAACTTTATCTTTCCAGCAGTCTCATACTTACAGGTTCATAACTTTTGCGCACTCGTAGACACCAACGGTGAGGGAGTCGTTGTCTTTGGCGGTCACCAGGACCTCCTCGAGGGCAGTGCCGGCGCACTGAGCACGCTCGGTGGGTTTCTGGATCAGGACCTCCTCAAAAGTCATGATGAAGGCTGTGAGGATATTCCGCTGTGGAAAAGCTCGAGAAAGTCTGAAGAGTAAATCCGCAGAGAGAGCAGAGTGCTTTCACAGCCGCGGTCACTCTCTTTTATACCCTGCAGCTCGTGCGGCGCAGTGAAAGCTCTGTGCCCTGATTGGCTAAAGCTGAATGGTGTATTGGTATGATAATGCTATTGTCACACTCCGGCTCGTGGCAGATTGATGGGGGTCATCGAGCCACTCACACCCCCGGCTGCACGCACGCAGCAGCTTGCCCTGCAAGCTAAAAATTGCTTAATTATATTACAGAAAGCGTTTGATTACTCTGCAGCACTTTAGTGCAACGCACTCAAAACACAGCATATGATTCAAGTTGCAGTGACACATCGTGCACCTGTCTTTTTACATGTACTCATAATAAACTACAAACTGAAGTAAAATGCGCATATAGCTACTCGGAAATCTTTGCAAAGGTTACTTATGGACACTTTTAGCCCCACAAACGTCTTTGTGAACTTTACTAAAACATTTTTTGAACTCAGACAAACTTCTAATGTCTTTTCCTTCATTTTATACTTTTCTGATAGAATCTAAGTAGCAGAATGGCGAAAGTGTGAAGCTCCCCTCCTCCCTCTCAGCAGCAGAGAAAGGGCAGGTGGATGATGCCATCTGTGGAGTACAGGCTGGCCATAAAACTGCCCCATTGTAAGCACAGAAGCTCCTCTATTGTCACGGTCTTCTATACAAATGCAAATCATCAGCGCGTGCCAGAACGCAGTGCGTGCTGCACAATCTGCAGTGCTGGCCCACGCGAACCACGTGGCCATCAGCTGGCCCCCAAATCCTTCCTTCCTCGGGTTTTATTTATTTACTCTGGGGAGTTCAGGAGCCACGCGAGTTACGCAGAAATAGCTTTAAAAGTTATTTTCCTTGGAATTTGGCCCATAGTTCCACTAAATACTTTCATTTGCGATTTAAGTGGTCCCGACAAACTTTTACGCAGGACTCCATTTCACCTGCTCCACGCGTTAGGCACTTTCAATGTAACATATTGTCATTATTTGGTAATTTTTAGTATCCAGTTCAAGTAACCTGACCTGCGTCTGGTTTTATTATTATCCACAACTTCTTTTCACTCCGAAACTTTTACGCACGATCCTGCCTCATTCGGTTCACTTCTAGTGCCGTTTCTCTTCTCTTATTTGGTGCCATTTCATCTGCATAATAATCCAAAACACATCTTGCATCAGGTCAGACCTGTTGCCATTGCTGCGTAAATTGCGCAGGGGGTTGGAGGTGCAGACACAGGTCGGTGGTGATTGATTCAGCACTATTGTTCTATGGAAGGCACAGTGGCAGATGGAGAACTGTCGCTATGAGGGGACCCCCTCCTCCAAGCCCCCCTTCTCCAAGCCCCCATTCTCGTTCTCCTAAACCTAGGTCATCTTCGACCCCAGGGCTTTTTTTTTTTTTTTTGTCTTTTGTCGACATGTCTCAACATTCGCAAGTCTGTTGTCTGAGTTTTGATTAAGTTAGAATACCAAAGATGAGACTTCACAGTCTAAACTTGCAAAATGTAAAAGGCTATCTCCCCAAACAAGTAGAGGCAAATAAAAATCACTCTCAGTTTGAGCTGTAATCAGACGAGAATGCCCCAAGTGTTTCGTTTAACAACAAAATGCTTATCTTTGCATTATTGCAAACAGGGTCATTTATTTGTTTTTACTTCAGTCCTCATCTGCGCGTCATCTGGCCCAAAGTTTGATTTGGATCTAGCTGATACAAAATAAAACACACATCTACTTTTAGGAAGGATAAGCTCTTATCACCACGGGCCAGGCGCGTGCAAATCGATACCAACCCATTGTTGGTGAAGCACATCTGCCAGATGGTGGACTCTCCGGCAGTGCGCGACAGGTGTTGGTGTTCAAAGCTCTTTACTGGTGACCTGCGGCGACTCAACAGAGCCCACCCTCTGCGTTATAAAGGGAAATGTCCAAAGGTGGCAGATAATTCAGAGGTTTGCAGAAATGTGTTTTTAGTGTTTGCAGAGATGACTTAAGCTCTGTGAATAAAAACAAAATATTTGTATATATTTTTGCACTGATAAAATACGTTTTTGAGTTAGAGAGCGATACACATTACATAACAATCATATTTAGCGTAGATCCACGCAGTCTGTCTACAATTCTGCGTTTTAAACACAACTTACAAAAATAATCTTTGCAGGAGTAGAACATGTGTCTATTACGCCCAGCAGGTGCTGCGTGACTTCTTTTGTTCACCCTCACTTTACCTTCCCCCTGGGACAGATGGTATCTGCCGGTTACTATGGAGAGTGATGCAGAGTAGAGAGATAAAGCACGCAGGCATCTCCAGATGCCACGCGCCAGTCTTTACACATGCAAAGCAGCGGCCCGTGCCATTTCTTAATCTACAACAAACAGTTCATGCTGTGAAGCTGGTCACGACGTCTAAAAGTCTGCCTGACAGTCAGTACAGTTAGAAGGGTGGATAGATCTGATTATTTTGACATCAAACATTGCTGAATACCCTGCATTGATGCTGTTTTTAAGAAAGTTTCTGCTTATTCTTCCAGAAAATTTTCTACGACGTCTTAAAAGGGCCCTGTCCGACGGTGTTCCAATAGTGTTTTAGCTGTTCTGACCACAGCATTAATAACAATTTGGACATTTCTCGCCTATTTACAAATATACATTGTGCATATTTCATAAATTTTTATATCTTTGCATTTTTACACCAGCTGCGGTTTCAGTTAGGAATAAAATATTTAGCTTTTAAAAAACTTCAAAAAGTGGTGAAAGCATGAAAATATCTTACAAGTCTCGAATAGATTTACTGAAGCATTTGTGTACACAAGACTTTATCTGACTAGCTTATTAAATCAAACTTTTATTTATACAGAAAAATATAATGTCATCATTTGAAAACAAACCAGTTCAACATCTAATGCTCTGTCTTCAGATTTTAAAAATCCATCTTTAGATCGATTTTTAACAGCAGACCAAACCAATCAGCCACTGCCACCCATTCATTTCCACAAAAGGTTAAACTAAAACAGCAAATCTTTCTCTGTGATTTCAGCTCATTTTAATAATCTTTATAAGCTTGCTTAGATCTGATCTGAAGTTAACTTTGACATGATGAATGGTGTTAGGATTCTAACCTTGCAGGAAAGCTTTATTCAGAGCCCAAACTCTGTGGATGAATGGAGTAATACATTTTAAATGGCAAATATGAAATGATATGGATGACATAATTGGATCAAAAGGATGTAGACTTCTTACTGTTTTCACTGGAGCTTTTTATTGCACTGATCCAGGCAGACATCAATTCGCACAAAACAGCAACAGTTACATGGAGAACCTCAAGAATGCAAGAATGCAGGAGTTTTGACCAAAGTTACTACTAATGCTCTGTTACTCTTGATGTAATCGAAGATCACTCCAAGTTTTATTAAAACTAGCTGATTGCACAAGAAAGAGCAAGTTTGAAACAGATAGATTTGAAAAGTCTGAAATGAACCTGACAAACACTTTGTTGATGTTCGGTGAGATGCCACAAACACCGGTAAATTTAACTCCATGCAAATGAATGCAAATGACTGGGTGCATTAAAACAAGCCCCCCTAAAGCACAATATTATGATTTGGAAAGCGTGCAGTTGCATTGAGAAATACTTTAGATTTAAATATCCTTTGGCTTCATCGTTTAAGCATTTCAGTGGCGTTATCAGTCGCTTCTTAATCTTGCAAAACTTTGAGGACTTTCACAATAGTAGTCTGGTCTTGCTGTGTGGTTTCATTATTCTTGTAAGCTGAAATAAGCACTTAAAGGTCAGGCTTTCTACATTTGATCCTTTCAAATGAAGCTGCCCCCAACTTTCTAAGACTTTTCTATGGGCACGCGTGCCTGAGGGTGGGATGGGGGCTGCTGGCCTCTTGTTACCATTGTGCTGCAATCAGCCAATGAAAGAGTCAGCACGTGCTGGGTCTGCAGTATAAATGTTGGCAATCTCCTGGAAGCAGCACAAACAGCCTTTTCTGGACTTTCTGATACTGCTTCAGCTGAACTGTGAGATACAAACTAACCATGCAGTCTCCTGGAAAATCTCTGAAGGAAGCTCTGCTGTGTGCTCAGAGCGAGGAGCGACTCACTGTTGGAGTCTATGAGAGCGCCAAAATTATGACTGAGTAAGTAAACTTCATGTGACCTTAGCATCTTCTCTTAAGATTAGGGTTAATAAACACTGAACAGCAGCGCTTAACAGGATGATTTTTGTTTGCCTACAGAGACCCGGACAGTGTGTCTTTCTGCGTCCTGGCCATGGATGAGGAGTTTGAGTGTGACATCGCCCTCCAGATCCACTTCACCCTCATCCAGTCCTTCTGCTTCGACAACGACATCAGCATCGTCAGAGTGAGCGACATGCAGCGTCTAGTGGAGATTGTTGGGGACAAGGCGGAACAGTTTGAAGATGCGCACTGCGTCCTCATCACGGTATGTAGAGCTCAGTAGCAGCACTGTGAAGAATTTCAAGGCTGATTTTTTATTTTTATTTTTTTGTGCTTTCTGAAAAGAAACGTGCGACTAAATCTGCTTTCCTCTTCCTGTTTGATCAGAACCCGGCTGACGGGTCTTGGGAGGACCCCGCTCTGGAGAAGCTGCACCTGTTCTGTGAGGAGAGCAGGCATCTGAACGACTGGGTTCCTGAGATCAGCCTCCCCGAGCGCTGATCTGGGACCTGCTCCTCACTCGCTCAGATGCTGCAAAGCTTCTTATCTGGAAATACTCATCCTGATGGACAGGATGACCCTGTTTCTGCTCATCCCTGGATACTCCTGAGGAGGATTCCCGTCCAGGCAGCACGGCGCCGGCCCGAGGGCCCCCGTGAACCGTCGCCTCTTGTCCCGTCCATGCCAAGATGACTCTCATTCTTTATGTGAATGAGGTCGGGCATGCCACAAGAGCGACGCATCGACCCTCATTCTTTGTGCGGATGAGGTTTGGAGAGGAAGGAGAAGCGATTTCTGCGTCCTGTGGT